ATCGAAAACCTTTCGAAATTTACTAAGGTAAGCCACACTGATATTAAGTAAGTTATTTTTATCAAACAATTATTATAATACCACACACTATCTGATAATACATAGATCCAGCAAGTATTAGACTTATGAAGAACAACAACATTTACTGTTTGCTAACATTTAAACGTTTTAAACCCAACCAATAAAATCCAGAGATTAAAAAAAAAACATAAAAGCTGAGCGAAATCCGAAAACCAAAACCGATTATTGTATTTTATTAGGTATGAACTGTGGTCGTCGAGACCTACTGAGCGATGTTCGCTCTCAACTGTAGCATTAATGTAGGAATTAATGTGAATCTCTGTATTCGATTCTGTTATATCCGATACTACTCGAACTCGTACTCGTACTCGTACTCAACACACACCAAAAAATGTAAGCAACGATAGCAAGCCACTCACGTAGACTCTCCCAGTACTGCACCGCGATAAACGATAAACGATTAACGATACACAATTAACGATTAATTCCACATTTGAAGCGAACCGGAACCGGAAGGAGATCCGATCCGCAGGCATTCCTAAGTTACCAATTACTTTAAATACTTCTAAATGGGACAACCAAGAGCAAGCTAATAAATCGAAATAAATAATGACACACTGCATGATGCAAAAAATAATAACTTAAACAAATGGATTTTTTAAGTATATGTGGAACATTTATATTTTTATACCAAGAAGCAAGAAGCGAAATGAAAACAAAAGAAAAACAAAAACAAAACCGAAATTGCATTAAATGAGAAAGATATTAAACAAGCGATGAATAACATTAAACATTTTTTACTAAGCCATTGTCGAACCAGTGCGAGACGAACTCCAAGATAACTAGCTTTAATCCCTATCCCCCCTATCCCTATGATTGCACCACGTTCGCCTCTTAAACTATAAACTGAAAACCTAAAAGTAAAATTAAATGAAAAGTAATTAAAGTAACCGATTCCAAGACTAGACTTTGGTAGTTAAATCCTGTAATTCTGTAGAGACGAGTGCGCCCAAGCGAGTGCTGCCTGTGCCACCCGATGCCCGTGTCAGGCCACCCTCCAAGGTCGAATGGGGCAGCCTGGTGATGGCCAGGACAGGATTGGCTCTGGGCCCACTCAACAAAGAGCATAGAGTTAATATACATATACATATAGAAGCGAGTGGAGATGAAATAAGAACGAAACCGATATCGAAAATACATGAATTTAGTGTGTATTAATATGCCTTCTGCCTTCGACAAAGACAAAGAGAAGTGAAAATGTATTACGAGCGTACTCATTCTACTACGACTTTGTTGTCACATTTTGATATATGTATGCATTTTCCCATTGTTTTCGTCTTAACCGAAATTAGGAATATTTTTTGTCATTTTGCATGGTTTTCGGCTCAAGCCAAAGAATTGACAATATAATATTTCGCCTTAGAAGCAAAAGAGCAAACGAATGAAAGACAAATTCCAAGTGTTATGCTTATAGATCTAAATTTTTATACATGGACATGGACATGGACACTTCGTCGTCTCAATTTTTGGTGAACGTGCACACACTACTACGTATGATTTGAATAGATTAAAGCTTTCGTTGCGGTTCTTCCAAGTCACCCTTAAAGATAATATACGAACACGATTCGAACACATCCTTTTACACATTCACACACTACCCCTTCACTCAGTGTGCTTTTGCTGTAGTAGTCTGCCAATTGTAAAAGAATTTATATATAAACGAAACGGAAACGGAAACACACATATTCTAATCTATGATAATAAAGAAAGCATGCTGATTCCACGCACACACACACCTCACACCCACACTTCATAGAAGGACGAAGTAGGAATAGGAAATGCACGAGCAGGATCCTTAGTCGGTTAAAGGTTATTGTGTTTGTGTTTCGTGTAAGCAAACAAATGCAGAGATATTAATAGTGGAGAAAACATAGTTCAAGTTTTTGTTTATTGTGTATTAAGGACAAGTTAAAAAATTATATCAGCTACGACATCTGATAATAAAAGGGGATAATTAGGTGGTAGACAAAGCTCTTTGTACAATGTAATAAATATGTTGATTGCTACACCATACAATACGAATTACAACACACTCAGCCACGCCCACACACACACACACAGAATCTCTAACTCTGAATCTGAATCGGAATCTGAATCGAAATCCGAATCTGAATCAGAGGATTAATGATATTTATTATTACGATAAACCAGGCACAGAAATGCATTTGAAACCAAACCAATTCTCACATTTAGCATTAAAGACCAGAGGTGCGCGGACGAAGGACGAGAACCGTAGATGGAGTTTAGTAAATTAATACAGAGTCTTTTATGTATAAAAATCAAATACATATCAATATATGGCCTATTGTTTATTTAGTTTAATTATATATATTATGGATAACACACTCGAACGCAGCAGGTGTGTGCAGTAAGGCTCTGATTTATGACTTTTTAAGTAGGCAATTTGTATAAATTAAGCAGCAAGCACACACACAATACAAGCAGAAACCAAAACAGAAATTTAAGGTATAATAATAATAATAAAAAACAAAACAAACCAGAGAACGGAAAACAAAAACAAATTGTGGTTAAATATGTGTTCTTACTTGTTAGTGGTAATAAAACAAAGGTAACTAAAAAACAAAAACCAACATAAAACTGTAATTATAACTGTTAGCTTTTAATCATGCCAAGCATTTTGCGTTAATTCCCCCGTCTTATCAGTTGGAATTGTCGGTTTAATTTCCATTTAGAACACACGGATTAGCTTAAATTGCAAGATGTAGTTGCTCCACACCAACACACACACACACACACACACACTGAACACCCACGCAGACACAGACACAGAGACAGGTGCCCGTTTGAGTTATCTGTAATGGCTAGCAAAACTACTTAATGGCAAACAAACACTCTCGCAAGGCATCACTAATGCAAATAATGTTAAAAGGTAGCTAAAAATAACAAATAAGACAACTTTTGGTCGCAACAAAAGAGCAAAAGTCAAGAGCAGATCGAAAATTAATAAATCGAGGCTCATAAAATATGGACACAGACATATAAACAAACACACAACAAATACCAAATACTGAATACTAAATACACACACTTGGTACAATGGCAGCTCCGAGTCCTCATCTTCTGTTCCAAAATTTGAATATAAATATACATATATCGTTTGATGGCGACGCTTTAGTGTTCAGCAAAACAGCGAACCGAATAAAATATATTAAAAGCAGAATTCTATTAAATATTGTATATCCGACGATGTTTATTTGTGTATCAATAACGGAAAGCTGTTAACGATTTAATTATAATTAAAGCATTATTATTATTGTCGCAGAACTTACTTTAAATTCAAGGAAGCAGACGAGAAGAGCAGATCTTGCGCCGACAACAGATAACATATGCAAAATTTAATTGCTGTTTTAAGATATTAACTATATATAAATATATATATATATACAGACATACATCTAGATTGAAAAAATATGACATGAGCATACAAAATGTAGGGATCATTTTACTGAATATATATATATAATATACATACTGTACTACATATAATCGAAACCGAAAACCAAAATTCTGCTAACAACCAAAACCAGACACAATTAAATGCTAAATGTAATACGATTACTGACACTCACGAGCGAGTAAGAAACTACCAGGAGGAAATGTAATGTGTAAACAATTGAGATCCGCATTGAAGCAGCATTAAAAACAAAAAATTTAAGTGAAATTATATTACGAAATATATTGTATATCGATACAAGATGGATACAAGTAAAAATACAAATAAAACTCATGTATCATGTACTAAACAAACAGCGCCTCGCTTTTATTTCCCGCCCAGCAGCTGTCAGCTTTTCAGTCGCCGGTCATTTGTCATTCGTCATTGGTCAAATGCTTAAAATGTTAACAAATGTGTTTATTGTACATCTCCATATTTCCAGTACATCTCCATATTTCCAGTAAGTCATCGCATTGGGTTTCAGGAAGCGCCCCCTCTGTCCTCTGTTGGCGATCTATCAGCCCGGTTTAGTGGCTGCTAATTACAAGGCACTTTGCATTTACATCGAATCAATAAAAACTGAAATGATGAACACCAAATAAAATCGCATATTTACGGCTGACTAAGCCCAAGTGCAGAAAACTTAATTTATGATGCATATAAATCCCACAATTATGCCGGCGACACTTCCGCATGCCGACTGCAGGCGGAGGCTTATAGCCAGTCCGAAATATGCAAATTAATCACGGCAAATTAAAACGAAAGGTGCCCTTAAATGCTCACCATAGTTTCACCTTTCCGGCTGGAGAGCTCCCTCCCTCATTTGCGTGCCACCATTTGTCAATTTTTCCCGGGGTTCAGGGTTGGGCTTTTACTGTCGCCATTTCGCGTCCGTCATAAAACATGAAACTCATCCCCGCACCTAAGACTTAGCCTGGACATCGTGAAATGGCCACCTGTTTTTTTTTTATTTTTTTTGTGTCTTATGCCTTGAGCATCGAATACTGTATACTCTGTCGAGGGATATTAAAAGAGTATCTGATAGTTTACTAAGGAACTTAAAATACGAATTAACACTCTTATAGTATCTTTTAATTTTTACTTTTAAAGCATAGATAGAGCATTAACCCCATTTTATATTGCCTTATTAAGGGTAAATTTAAATAAAAATATAATAGTTTTTCACACATTTCGTGAATTCAAAGTCTCATATACTATGTGTCATATGTTTCCTACTAGCTTAAAGTAGAATTATGCTGATATGATTTTAAGAAAGGGTATTGTATTTTTTTAAAGAAGCTGCAGTGTCTGGAGCCCAGTGTTAAATGTAAATGCAAATTAACACTGCAGCCGGTGGCGGGCACTTTATTCGAGTATTAGAGTACATAGCCATTAAGTCGCTTAATGCCGGCATACTCGTCGTATCTAATAAAGTTTATGTTGTTTCTGTCTTCTTCTCTTGCAGAATTTGCGCAGCAGATAACCCACGTGGCCACCTCGGCGTTTGTCTACCTGAAGACCTGGCTAATTAGTGGCTAAAAGCAGCTACCTCTTCACCAATTAGCTCTTAAATAGTTCTTAATCATTAATCAGTTAACCAGGGCACTGATCGAAACACTTCCTCGGAATGCAACGGAAAGTCTGACTGAAGGTTTTTTAGCCTAAGGAAGTAGGAACGGAGATAATAAGATATTGTAAAGGACACGAATTTAGGAACATTAATCCCAGGACTTTGAAAAGTAATAGTTTTGTAAGGTAACAAAAGAGCAGAGCAAAATATTTTACTTGAATCTAATGAAAAAAACTTGTTAAAGGATTTGTAGAGAAAAGAAACTATAAGGTTTTGCAAAGGAGAGACTGATAGCTTGGATAGGAATTAAAGTTGTGTAAGGCATTGACAGAGGACAAGTGCTGGACACCCTCACAGCATTACCCACACTTAGTACTTCCCCAATTAACACTCACTGCAAATGTTTAACAGATATTTAAATAAAGTTGCTCGCACTTGATTGATGCAAAAGTCAGTTGAAGCCGGCGTATTTCCGTTTCTAGCCGGTTTCGCAGACGCCATTACTTAGTTTTAATTGATCTGTGAGAGGAGTTAATCTGGCGATCAAATAGGTTTTTACACGCGAAAGGCAACAAGGCCTTCAACCTGACACATGAATAATTTAAATTTCGCTGTATGCCGTGCTGTGACTCGATAAACCAACCGAAAACCCAATCGATTCGATGAGCCATAGCCGGCGCAGACTTCTTGGCAGCGTTCCTGTCCATTGACCCAGCATGGAGCCCGCAAAGAAACCCTCGTAAACTGCCCGTCCGACAGACTCTTTTGGCCGGGGAGAAAGGAGGGGCATCATCGCATCTTTTATTTGGCAGATAAATGAGCCAGTCAACCCAGCAGCCAGTCAGCCAGCGCTCGGCGGAGACAACCAGTCACCACTTGTCGTTAATCTTTGGCTTGGATTCGCATTCGGAGTCGGTGGTGGAGTCGTCGCCAGCTAAATCTTCAATAGAAATAGAACCTGTTTCCAATTATCGTTTTGCATTTGGCCAGGCTTTCGCCGGCACTGCGCTTGCCTATGGTAATTTCGACGGGAACGTGGCTAGATGGCCGTCTTTGTGAAACAAATTGTTAGTGTCAATTAACATATGGGATGTGGCCGGTGGCCGGTGGCTGGTGGCCACCAAACTCAACCGCACAGTGTCGCACAGTGACGCAGATGCGATGGTAATGGTGGCTCCCAGACTTCGTCTCTGATCTAGTATTAATAGATAGGGGATTCCGGCGAGACTTGGAACCGTTTAAAATCGCCAATCGCTAATGATCTGACCATCCATAACCGGACAGGCGGCTCAATCAATTCCAATTAAATGTTCACAGCTTTCGGCCGATATCTTCTTGCCAACTCTCTGGCTTTGCCGCCTCGAGGTCACTGTTCCTGTTGGCGGTGAGAAGGTGTCATGAGGAGTCCGCTCAACTGAAACCAATTAGCAGGTGGGGTTCCATTTCCATTCCCATTCCAAGATCTCCTGGTCACAAATGATGTCAAGTTGGAGATTGGAAGAGCCCAACATTCGTGGAATTACACTGAGATAAAATAAAGAACACTGGATAAATAAATATATTAATTTAAACACAAAATGTTCTCACAACTAGAAATCAACTGTAGGGTATTATGATTTTAGTCAAAAGCTACTAACGCTGTGAAGAAGTCATTTCCGACCCTATAAATTATATATATTCTTGATCAGCATCAACAGGCCAATCTTTCTAGCTATCCCCGGCAGAAAAACAAAATTTTCAAAAAATTTCCATTTTTGATAAAAGGAAAAGGAAAAATTGTCAAAAATTTCTAAATTTTTTAATTTTAAATTGAGTATGCAGATTTATTGACCTAATAAAAACTAGCATAGCAACGCTTTCCGAATTGAAATAAATGCATTTTTGGTTGAGTTATGAAGTTTTTAAACATTGATTTATCATCAAAATTGTCATATATAAATATAGATAAAGATCCAGATTCAGAGAATTGGAATAATTTAAGCTCAAATATGATCAATTCTCTGTTTCAATTTCAAAACTGTTAGTATGTATAAATGTCGTTTTATATTATTAAATGGACTTGGAGATTAAAAATTTTATTCAATTGCTTAAGGAGAAATACCTACATTGCTTTTACATTTTTCGATTATTTGAATTTATTAATTAAAACTCTATGTTCTAAGAAATCTTCCAAATATTTTTACCAGTACATTTTTAAGGGTGCATTTTACCAGAGAACAATAAAAACCGAATCTCTATTTATAAGCCCATTTATGGACACACTAATGCATAGATAAATGAATGAGTCGCTGGGCAAATATTGGGATTCGCTTGAAATTGTCAAACTGCGTATAATCGCCATCGACAGCAATTATAGTAATGTCTAGTGCAAATATTTTGAGCCACCTTCGATGCTGACGCAGCGGGCAAAGCCAAGTTCAATGGAATTGTTTGTGTCAGTTGGAGAGAAATGACCCACTTGCCTCCAAGATACAAAGATGACGCCCACGCAAAAGGCCTGGTTGCTTGGCCAAGCTGTCGCTCTCTCTGCAACTGCACATGGCCGGGTTATAAGCCATATTGGGATGGCTAAATTCAGAGCACACGCGTGTCTCCAAGCGTGGAAGATTCATTGCCAAGTTCGTTGGCACTTCCGGAAGGTCAGACGCCAAAGATAATGGCCCACAAATCATGGCACAACTGTGCGTCTGTTTACAGAATTGGCCATGGTGCGCTTATATAGGCCCAGGGTCGATCTTTTATCGCCCGCGTCTATTGACAAAAAAGAGTTTGTCGCCCCACTGCCAAAAATGGGGCATTCGTCACGCCCCACTAACTGAATCAGAGGTGAGTATATGAATGCTCTTCAACTTGCTAATCGGACAGCAAACTACTGAATATCCCTGGACTATGGATGACTAAGAAGGAAGTCATTACTGGTTTTGTTAGTCACTAAGCATATTACCTTTTTATTCTCCATCAGATCAGCTGTCTTTAAAAATTATAAGCTGAATACATCTTCTACTTTCATGTAATAGGTACTAGGAAAAAAAACCAAAAGTTTGAGTTTTTTTATAGTAACGATTCTGGGCTAGCAAAATTCACGTTAATGTTGAGGAGATCGATCCAAATCGGCCACCTGCCACCGGTGCGCAGCCTGGCCGGCTTCGGTTCCAGATTTAACTACCAGAGCCTCCGCAAGCTGTCCCCCCATCACGGTGAGAACTACTACCAGGTGCTGAATGTGCCTGTGTGCTCCAGCCACCAGGAGATCAAGAGTGCCTTCATTGAGCTCTCGAAGAAGTATCATCCGGATGGTAACTCCCAGACGCGTGACTCGGAGGTCTTCATGAAGATCTGTGAGGCCTACCAGACGCTGCACCGGCAAAACTCGCGCCAACTGTATGACTCCTGCCTGCGAATGCAGCGCCAGACCACCTCTCCGTCGGAGACGGCCTTTACCAGCCGACAAATCTCGACCAGGTGGTCCCAGTACCAATCTGCCATGAGGAGCAAGCAGATGAGCCGCAACTCCCAGACGTATCCAAGAACCAAGACTATCATTTTTAGGCCCAGAAAGGCCAGCCAGTACTTGCCCATGTGCATAGCCATGGATCTGCAGAAGCCTTGGGAGCTGATGATAGACCCGGCAAATGGAGACGAATACAAAGACGGAAGAGGTGAGGAAGGAGACGATGGATACGAAGATTGGTTCCGAAAATCCTGGACGAACTATTTCCCCTTCATCTTCTACCTGTATGCGGCAGGACTCTGCGGGGTGGGCGGTCTAGTTTCCATGGACTTGGTCAGAAGAAGCCATAACAAGCCAATGTCAGAGGATGACATCGAGCCCAGTTCATTCGAATGATCTGAGATGTGGTTTCTGGACTGCGGATAAGACCTCAACAGAGACACTTACCAAACTCACAGCCGATCCCATGCATCATTTTGTCTTCTTTAAAAAAATAATCAGAAAACATCTAATGTCGAATGAGAGGCGGCATCTCATACATATGCATGGGACATGGACACTGTCAGTGCCTGTACTCTGCCTGGTCTTGTTTGGAAAGAAAAATATATAAATCTGATCGTTAATTGTGTGAATCTCTCTGTGAAACTACATCGTTGTCTGGCAGGCTGATTATGCATAATTTGTCATTCCGGCATAAGCGATCGAGTGGCATAAACGAGTTTCTCGAGTCACGACTTCTAGTTCAGTTTTCTGGCTAATTAAGAATTATGAAATTTTTGTCGCTTTTGCTTTTCATCTTACCCTAAGTTGAAGGGTATTTAAGAACACTGCCGACGTTTGCGATTATTCCAAGGCGTGTTTACCCATGTAAAGAAGTATTATGACGTCAAAGTTTCTGTAATTAATTAATTTTTATATGGCTTTTTAAATACTTGAAGATGACGTCTAAGCTTGGGTATTGTTTTGATTTTTCTATAGCCTAAATCTAAGAGATCATTTTAAAAAAGGTACATAGAAAACCGTATGTCGTAAGGGACTTTAAAGTAAAGATCAAAAACTGGTTAATCTATTTAAAGTTTATTTACCGATCACTTTTAAGCTTCCGTACCAAATTAATGTTGATTTCTATAGTAATCCAATCGGGTTCATCTTTTTAAAGCGGAATTTATGAAGATAACGTTTGAATATAATAATAATAAGGTAATACTTTGATTGGCTTTTATGAGTTTTCAAAGCAAATTTAATATTTGAAAATGTGATTTTAGATACATTCATTCGGTTGAAGGTTTTATTACTTGTTATTAGGTTTTAGTTTTGCATACAAGCTCATATTTTTTATAGAAGTACTCAAAATCAATGATGACGTTTATATCTCTATATAGTTCTTTTTGATAGTTTTCCAAACAGGTTGTATATAATCAGATTAAAATCCTGAAGAAAAAAGTAAATGCCGCAAAGCTTCCGGGCTTCCCCTTCTCTGATGCAAAAATAGGTTTACAGTTGACGAAATTATGAATCTTTAAACATAGTTTAATTTAAAATTAAAAATATTATAAATATTTCAAAAGAACATTTGTCTATTTTAGGAGAAGCATTAACAAGAGAAACTTACTTGAATGGTTAGATTAAATATAACCCCAAGATTAGGTATGAAATCTTTTTATAGAAAATTAACCTGTCTCTTGTATTGTTTATATAAATTTATAAGTCAAAAGAAGCTCACTTTAATACACAAATTATTTCCCAGTGTTGGGTCCCCTCTCACATTTTGTATTCCATATGAAACCATATCTATTCATCGCAATCCCATTCGGGTCTCACTGAACTTCCGCGCTCTGACCTCTTCTTCGACGATGCCCAGATAATAGATTTGTTTTGGCTTTAAGTATGTTCTATTATGATGCCATTAAATGGAACGTACGGTGGCAGTTGAGATGGGGCAAGAGACGTATCCATCCGACAATCGGATTCACTCAAGGCGAACCGGCCAAAAGGTCGACTTATAAGAGAGGGATATACTGGGGTCCGGACCACCGGGGGTCGACTGGAACCGTTAGTCAGGCAGTAATAATAGTTTCTGTTAATTTGCGTATTGTATTCTCTTGTCTGGCGGCTTGTTTTGTTTTGTTTTCATATTCCGGCTGACACAGGTTGATAAATTATGATCGGTGCTTAGCTTTGATTAAGTTGTCGTGTCTTTCTTATGGATGTCAGGAGTCCGGAGATCAAATGGGCTGATATACATAGTTAGGCAGTTAGTTAGCCAAGTGGAACCGGTGACTCTCCTCCAGATCATCAATATACAATATCTGGGGGGAGCATAAATCAATATTCGCAACGAATTCTCGAATTCGAATCGAATGGCGCATGCGCATGCGCATTATTCGCATTCGCAGCGGAGCGGCGCTATAAAGAGCGTTAAAATTATGTTCTGTCGCCTGGCTGCGCAAAATAAATACATACAGCGATCGGGCCCATAATGAAGCCAATAAAGAGCCGGGTCGAAATCAGCTCAGCAGGCGTAAAGTGAAAAAAAAGAAGAAAAAACAGCAACCGAGATCAGAGCCCGCGATCACCACAAAAAATGGTCAAAAATTTATTGTACGCTGACGGCTTTTTAATGAAAAACGCTGGCTACCAAAGCGAATTAATGAAGGTGTGTGCGCATATATATCCCAGATTTCAGAATCGCTCCCTTTCCTCCTCTCTTAATGCCGGCACAAGTTCAAAAAATAAGCCACACAAGCGTAGACCGATCGATCAGCATATGAATTGACTTAGCATAAGAATGAAAACGTTTCTCTAATGAAAATTGTTTATGGTTTTACGATAGCCGCCCCATTCATTCATTCAAACACGTGTTGCTCTTGGCTTATTGACTTATTTTCCCTGTTTGGTTGGAGGAACTCCCATTATAATGATTTTGATTTTTAATATTTCCCAATTCCGATTCGATTCCGCAATTTGTTAATGGAGCTCTCGCCACTCACACGACGACTTCATTGTAAAACGCCAACCGAATGACATTTTAATTATGCGGCTGTCAGGCGAACAGGTAGGCAGTCAGGTCTCAATTGCAATTAATAATGTTTTAAATAATAGTCGTTGGCATCGACCGAGATCGTCAAGTGCAAAAACCGCAGTGTTATGGAAATATTTTGTCACACATGGAGAAATGGAGATCCCTTGTCCGAATAAAATTGTATAACTTATCATCCAGATCAGTTGTTGAACCGACAACCGCCGGCAAACTTGTTCAAAGTCGTGTTCGAGTCTTGGGTTTCGACCAAAATGTCAATATTTTTGTGTTGTCTAAGCAAATGTTGATCATCAGTCACTGGGAAGGTGTTTCTGGGGGAGATATATGGCAGCGGAAGCAATTGTGGCTCAGCACAACAAGGATGCACTTGACACCTGCATTGCCACTCAAAGCGGGAATAAAAATAATAATAATAATAACGATATCAACGATGACAAAACCAATGGCATTCCCAGGGGCAGAAGCTCCCCTCGGTTATGAGTAAATGTCAATTGGCAATCATATTCGCAAACTATACGGCGAGAGTAGTTCCGCAAGGCGATCGGGGCGATAAACAAGTGACTGATTAGAGAAAATTATCAGTGACCTTGCCTCGGGTGCGTTGTATAGTATCATCAATACACCAAATGGAAAACCCGTGTTCACCCCCTCTTCCAACGACCTTAACGGGTCGAGAATTCTGACTTTCTAACCGATTGCCTCCAAATATTGGTGCATATTCATTAGCTAAATTTAATAGTCAATTTATTCGGCCCACGCCACGTCTTGTTTTACTTTCTTCAGCTAAAAGTTTAGAGTATATAAAATATATATTTAGCCGAAGAGAAACTCGTTTCTCGCCAGCGCCATTAAATTGTTGTCTATTTTGGGATCGTAGAATAAAAGTGTGGACTATAAATGTTATCTTAACTATATTTTTAAATTGCCTAAGGCACTCCCTCCTCATACTCTATTAATAAGATAGACTTGATTGATCTTTTCTGTAACTGACTTGACAAAGTGTTTATCTTAAAGTTCACAGTTTAGTCATTGAATTATACATAATACAAATCATACTTTTTCCAATTAATGCATTTCAAAACTGAATTGTGAATCCCTTTCATCGAATGATTCAGAGAACGATTCACTTTCCTTGCATCGATTAACCGAAACTGGGTCGCATGAGTCACTGCATACGCACAGATGACTTTATAAAAAAATGATTATTATGCGTCTGTCAGGATTTCAGTTCCGACTTGTGATAACCCGAAGTGCTGGCACATCAAGGAGCGGAATAAAGAATGGGAACCCGTTGAGGCGGCTGTGGGTGGGCATGTGAATGTCCAAATGGACAGCACACGCGCAGCACAAGAAAGACATTAAATTGAGTCATAAAACTATACAAAGGCAAATAATCGGAGGAGCAGCAAAAAATAAAAACGATAACCGGCGGATGGTGCCAAGTGCTGTTAAATTGAGTTAAACGAGGTGTCGGGAATTTTATACTTTGCTCAACATGCGCACGAAATGTACAGATTCACGCAGGTTTTGCTGTTTATTGAAATGCAAACACCGCCGATCGAAGCGAAGGCCAATTATGTTTGCTTAAACCGCTGCTGCATGAGCACGGTTCCAGCACAAATAAAATCACACTCGAGTAGGAAATGTAAAGCTACGAAAACATCGACAACCATCGACAGCCGGCGATCCAGCGATCCGGCGATCCGGGAGGAGCGACTCCAAAGAGGAACAACATCAAAGAACGTGTATCGATCGGGCATATGTTTATTTCATATTTCTGTAAAGCATAATTTTTAATATTTATGTAGTTTTCGTGAAATAAAATAAATCAGCAGACCAGCAGAGACGTCACTGCCGTTGCCCGATCATTGAACACTAACCAACGATCATTGCCGGTTACTTGGACCCTGCCACTGGGATTGGATCCGAATCTGGGAATGGGAATGGGCCAGAGTTGGAGCACCAGATAGAGGGGTCCTCGCCCAAAACGTCATGTGTGGCATCAACATGGTCAGCGGCATCGGCGGCACTAAAACGAGGTGAAATAAACAGAACCAGTTGCCACACAATACACTAAGAAAAACTATAGTTAGTCTCAATAAATGATTAAAAAAATAGGTTTTTTAATGGAATAATAAAATCAAATATTTTCTGTCAATAGTAAATGAATCTATCTTTCCCATGATATATTAATTTGTTATTATTACTTATATCCTTTTAATACTCTACTGTTTTTCAAGTGCATCTCACGGTCTTTACTGGGCCGAAATAAGGCAAAGCTGGGTATGCTGCGACGGCGCAATCGTTTGTACTTGTTAATGGTTTTGTACGCGTAATTATTTTGGCAAGAAGCCAGCGCGAAGCGGAAATGCGAGCGGTAAAGGCAACCCCAAACAGGGCCAGAACTGCACCGTGATCACAGATGTGGCTGTTACCAGGGACTGTCGTTGTGCCTGTGGAAGTGGATGTGAATGTCCCACTAGCGGCGGTGAAAGGATCAAGTGGCATTTGTTCTTGTACTGTGCATTTAATTGGGTGTTTTTATTGGTTTTTAATGATACGCGAAATGATCGAGGCTGCTCG